CCTAAGGCCTCCAGAAACGTTAAATTCTAGGCTGGTATTGTTTCCTCATTTTTGGCGCATGAAGTCAAAGAACTTTGGGCTATAAATATGTCATAAGTTAAATTTTAAATATACATTCAATTTATCTATTCCTTTCTCTGGCAGGATAGGGTAGATTACTTAAATTAAAACTTATACATTGTCAGTAAGTCCCCTTTTATAAAAATTCAGTAAATGTACTTGTTCCTAATTTTAGGCCCATGAAGTTGAAGAACTTTGGGCTTCAAATTGTGATTAGTTTGATTTTCTCTTAAAATAAGTTTAGTAGTAAAATTACATTTATTATTTCTGTATTTTTCCCAAGTGGAATTGGTTATTCATATAAAATTAAACCTTACACCTTATGTACAATTTTTTTTCTAAAATGCTTCTAAAATAAATGTATTTTCAAATTAATTAGTTTTAATTGGATTAATTCATCCATATCTTACTCCATGCAAACAATCTTGGGGGTGGAAAAATGGGATTTTGTTTCTGCAACAAACTGAAGTTTATTGCATCTTTGAGGGGAAAGTATGAGAATTTAACTTGAGAGCCATGACTACAATATATCAAAAGGAGTTTAAATATCATTATCCTATGCTTGGTGCCATGAAATCTGGAGGCAATGCTCACAACTTATCAGACCCTTGCTTCCAAAAAGCAGCTCCCAAGACCTTGATTCTTATCAGAGATAATAATATATTTTCTAACAAATGAAATGTCCAGGAAATTTGTATAGCAATTTTAGAGGGAAAAGTACAATATTTTCTGAGCCTCTTAATCTTCATAAATACAGATAATTTACACTGTTTGGCAGTGAGTAATCGACAATTGTCCATGAGGTTGGTGGTAGAAAAGCAGTCATCTTCAAGAAAGAACAACCTATATGGACTGTTAAGAAAGAATATCAGCCCACTACTAAAAACCAATTGAAATCTGCCTCCTTGCACCTAGAAGATTTCTGTCACCAGCCTATGAACTCACTCAACTACAAAATTTGTATCTTCTGACAGTTTCCTCCTATACAAGAACTCTGAAGAAATCTGTTTTATCCCTTCAAAAATCTACTTGCTTAAAGAACGTTTTTTAGGTGCTCAGAAAAACATTTTGAGCAAGCTTTTTTGATGAACATTTTTTTTCTTCCTTTAAAGTTTTTTCTTCTTCCTTTTTTTCTCTCTCGTAATTGTGTATATCCTCATACCCTCTTTTTGTGCATGTAAATAAACATTTTCTTCCTTTATTGTTACACACCAAGCAAGAGTTTGAGTCTTTATTCTTCTGCCTGAAAGAGCTGCCTTAAAAGAGAGTAATGTCGATTCTTATCTTTCAAGCCGTTGTTGCTTTTTTTCAATTTTGTCACATTTTTAACCTCAACCCTTTCATATGGGAAACCTGGGACAAATTTCTCACAACTCTTATATTCTTGCTGATTTATCAATTGTCTCTTCATACAATAATTCTATTTTACTGGAAACAATTTAAATACAAGATGCCACCTGTGCACTAGCAATCACATGAGTAGCAGACATAATTCAAACAAAAAAAAAAAAAGAAAATCACAATGACCCATGTTAAGAAACTAAAAAAAATATTTGGAGATGGGAGTACTTTTATATCATAATATTAACAGGCTTTCCATTTTAGGTTTTACCTTAAAAGAAAGATTAATACAATTCAGTTTAAAAACTAAAATGATAGTAACATTTTTATATGGATTTTAGTTTTTAAAGTATAAAAATCAAAAAAAATTTCTAATTACTAGCAAAAGTACTGAAAAAGTAATATATTGACAAGTTTTAAAAAATAGTGGGGATCACTAAAAGAAAAAAAAAGAAAATTATCTAAAAATCTGCAAAATTTTTAAGATACATTTTTAACTAAATTTATATTCATATTTTAAAAAAAAAATTTTACTAACAGATATTTTTTTTAATTCTTTGTTTGAATTAAAGATGGGATTTGACAAACAAGAATTTAGAGCTGAACTTGTATTGTTGCTCACTTGAAGACTTTTTTATGCATGAAATATGAATTTTAAAAATTCACATGGAGAAAAAATAGTTTTGCATAGATTTAAGTAAACACATTTTGAGTTGATTTAAACATATTGTAAAGTATCATATTAATCCATTTTTGCAGATTTTAATTTACTCAAAGAGCAATTGGTTGAAAATTCTTTTCATTGTAAAGGTGTTTTTTTTTTTGTTTTTTTTACACAGCTAAAAATTTCTAATCTTATTTTTAGCAACATCTTCCTAGAGAGCCTTTTTACTTGCTTCTGCAACTTACATGCTACAAGGGGTTACAGGGTGTGGAAGAATTAGGAACAGAAACATTAATAATGAATGAGAAGAGGAAAGAGTAATCAGGAAGAGTAGATAGCGATTGACATTGCATTTAAATTTTTGCAGATTAAAATTGGCTGGAAAGCATGGAGCCGGGTGGGAGTTCCACAAGCAAGAAGTGTGGGGAAAGAAACTGTTAGCATAAAATTTACGGCTACATCTAACCAGCTTAACAGTAAATTGGTGATATCTTGACGCCAGTCTAGTACTGCGCTTAAATTTATAAAGTCTAGGTACCATAACGAAGAAGAGTACAGTAGTATTTATAAAAGACAGAAACAACTTTATGGCGGTGGGAAAATGACTGAAGCCGAGCCAACAAATAAAGACAGATAATACTGCTGATTCGTCTTTGGATGATTTTAATTTGTTTTATAAGCAACTTTTATTTATTTTCTAAAAATTAACAATATCTCAGTACATAAAAATATTTAACAAAACTATTTTTTCCGATAAAAAAAAATAAAACATTTTTCTTGTCAGAGTGAGAAAGAAAATGTGACCACGAGAAAGATATTCAGTTTTTCTTTTTATGGTTCATTACTAGTAAAGTACTATAATGCAACTTTAACAGGTAAATTTGTTTCTCAATAACAAAAAAAAAAAAACGCTCCAAACCAAAACGTTAAGAAAAAAAAAACACCACTTCAGTGTTTTTTAGTTTGTTTTGCGTGGGGAGTAGGTTCATCATATCTTCTCAAATAAGAAGTATTACTACTTCAGAAGTTTTTTTTGTTTGTTCATTTTTTTTTTTTTTTTTATCAAAGAAAAGAATTTGGTAATTCGGCTACGACTAAGAATCTCTAGTCTAAACTAAACTTTTTAAAAGTTAAAGCAATAAATTATAAAGATAATTTGTTTTGTGTACATTTTAAAATGGCTAATGCCGAGGAAGAGGTTTTACGAAGAAATAGAACGGAACGATTGCACAGGATTACATTAGTACTACATTCTTTCGATTTTTAAGAAAACAAACAATTACACACAACTAATAAAAATAATGTGGAAGACAAAGTTTAACTTCCAACACAAGTTTTTAGATGCTTCTAATTATTTTTAATTAATTAAAAAATGAATAAACCGTATGGTACTAAAAATCGACGCTTTTCGTATTTTAAACAAGTCTTTTTGTTTATGAAAAAAAGTAATATAATGTTGGAGCTTTTCTTTTTGTTTGACAATGTCAGAAGTTTCTTAACACCTGCTGACTGAATGAAACAAATTTTCGAGAATCGTTGAATTTCGCGTCCGATTAAAAAAACAATAATAATAATAATAATCAGAACGAGACTAGAAATATAAATCGTTTTATTCCCAAGTGGCTAAATTTTTTAAGAAACAAAAATATAAAAATGTTGATAACGGTCATAGACATGCACACAATTTGTGTGTTGAAGCAAAGTAAAATACACACACAAAAAATGAAGCAACAAAAACTAAAGAAAACCCAGAATAAAAAGAGCAATTTGATTGCGAGGAGAAAAAGAAACAAGTTTTTGTGTCTAACTAGTTTTGAAAAATAAACACTAAAACTTAGACTTTTAAACTTTGTTTTATTCTCGTTTCCTTTAGGCTTTATCATTGTTTCTTTCATTTTTAAAACATTTTTTCACTCATAGGAAAAGCGATTTTCATTAAAAATAAAAAAGATTTACTAAAATTTAAATATTGTTATTTACAAAGAAAGGATAAAAATAAAATTTATGAAACTTTGCTTGAAATCTTACATGGTAATTTTTGTTTGCTGTCGTAAAAAATGTGTAAATATATTTTTTTTCTTTTACGCTTTTCTCGTCTTGTCGCAAAGTTTAGTAAGTTGTCATAACATTTCCAATTTCAACATTCGAAGAATAACTGATGTTGTTAGTGTTGTGCTTTCAATATAAGTATAACTAAGAAGCATTGTTTGGTTTTTGTATGTGATAAACAGTATTTATGATCAGTTTTTAGTAGATGTTATTGTTTTTTTGAAGACGTTTTATATTGAAAAATGAAAATGTTAATTGCAATACTGAAAAAAATCTTCAATTTTGACATTAGTCCCCGTAAGTTTTATTTTTAACATTAAATGTAAGTTTCAGTGCAGTGTAATTTCATTTAAAAACTTCAAGAAATTTATAAAATAATGCATGAAGTTAAAAATTTCAAAAACTGAGCGACGACACGTACACTTACAACAATGTGTACTGTGAAAAAGCAAATTTCTAATGTTCGTTTTACTTATGATTGTTTCCGACGTTTTGACAAAGATATTCAGGAAAAACTAGTTTTGAGATTATTTGTACTACTTAATTGAATTTTTTAATGCGATAGACTTTTTTTTTACTATACAGATCGTTATTTGTGTGTGTATGATTCTACTAATACTGCGGTAAATCGCGAAGAATCAAAGAAATCCGGAAAGTAACTACGAGGGTTTTCTCTTTCTACTTTTTACTTTGTTGTTGGACGATTTCAAGCACAGCGGTTTCGGGTTTCCGTTTAAAATAAACTCAAGTGAACGGATAACTGTTGTTCGTCTCTAAAAGAATCTTTTGAGAGATTGAACCGGCTTTTAGCCTTTTCATGCACTAAAAGAAATAATTTAAATAGATGTATCCATGCAATACGTATCGTAAGTAGTAGTAAACTTACATCGAGAAATATAGCCATTCCCTTTTCCATGTTTTGCTCCGCCATAGCTCGATTTGTTCGCGTCTGCTGCTTGTGAGCTTTGCTAGATGATTTGATGGATGAACGTAACAATGCGAGAATATCGTTCGTTGCCAGGAACAACAACGAGACTTCAACTGAAAGTTGCCGTGGAAACCGAGTGACAACTTTTCTTCAGACTTTTTTTTAATGGAGATGTCCACTTGTTGTGACATCAATAATAAAAATACTTAGTTAAACTTGAAAAATATTTGCAACCTTAATAATACTAATTAATGATATCGTCAATGACAATGGCAACAACTGTCCAGAAAAACGGCAAAAAGGAGAAACGATGTCATAGTAATTATGTTGGACAACAGAAGAAAGCAGTCAGACATGGTAGGTAAAAAAAAAAAGAAATACAATTTTTTTTTAATTTGAATTATTTTTTGACAAACTTTTAATGAAGTGCATTCACATACAGTATCAGTGTGTGCGTTCATTTGTACGTTTTCTTCTCTAACTATCTCTCTCTCTCTCTCTCTCGCTCTCCTTGTCTCTCTCCCCCATTCTCATTTCCTTCCTATTTCTAAATACAAATGTCAACTTATGTTCAAAGAAAAATAGTTCTGCAGTCATTAGAATAATGGGTCATGTAACGTCAGGTTGACCCAAATAATAGGTGGGATAGAGAAAAAAAATGTTTATTCTCCCATTTGCCTTTCCCCCATTATGGGAATTATAACATTATTATATTTCACAGATGGAACTGAATAGCTGAAAGAAAAACACTACGGACTTTGTCGCCATATTTATCACAACATTTCGTCCATTGTACGCTCTGGCTTTCTTCAGGTGGTTGGAATGTCAAACAGAACCCTTTATTTCGCTCACTGGAGTAGACTGTTCTAGTTCCACGTGCCATGTAATGGATGTCAGTTATCAGTTATCTCCTGTTAATTCCCCTCTCCAAGTTCTCCACTGCCTTAACCGTGTATTAAACTCACACTCTTTGGGTACTGTTACTGGTGTTGCGGACCCGGTAGCATGCAGTGCTGGTTTATTAAAAGGTGGCCTTGTGCCAGACACTACTTATGACTACCGAATCCACAAACAAAGTAAAAATATTGAATGAGCGATCTTAGTGAGGAAAAGGGGTCATTCAACAAGTGCATAAAAATAATACAAGTAGATAGCCAGGATTAAATGACAAAATGAGTCTGGTGGAAAACAGTAAGAAATTTTATTATGGTGAACAAGTAAATTGTCTCGACAGTGGAGACCATCAGTAAAGTTACTGGATCTTTGCAATTAATGAAAAGGTCGTGACAAGTAGTCACTGAAGGAATGTCACTGTTCCGCGCCAAAACAGAAAACCAAGATGGCTAAGGCGGGAAAAGTTTCATCAGAAAGAAAGTTCTGGAAAAATGTCTTGTTGAACGAAAGGTGTATGCGTACACAAATAGGAAAAGGTACTCACTGTGAGGTTTGATAGTGTGAGTGTAATGTTTTATTTTTAAGGTACTGGTTCATAAGGATTAGAAGTTTCAAAGGTGTATGAACAGATTATCAATTTTCATTGAGGAGAATTCAGAGTTGTTCACATCAAGACGAGGAAATTAGTCTTGGATAGGTGTGAGGGCAACCATGTTGTAGAACTCTGGTAGTGAATAGAGGAAAGTTCGAAAGCTTTTCGCATCAAGACGAGAAGTTGGTCTTAGAAAAATATATTGACGACAGTGTCGTAGAACTCTACATTTTCTAGCTGAAAACGGAGGGAAGTTCACAAGCTGTTTGCATTAAGACGAGGATAAGTCTTGGAAAAGTGTGAGGTCGACATGTTGAAGTTTTGGTTAGTTAAGAATAAGATATTCCGGCCCGCGTATGGGTTAGGGGCATGGAATAAATGAGTCAACCATCTAGTTTGAAAATCGGGCGGCGACTAACTTGAAAACGCTGTTCGTCAGTGACGTCAGGAAACACGCAGGAAAAATTCAAATTCTGATCCTAGACGGTATCAGGAGTAGCTAGTAAGCAACCTTCCTCACGTCAGCCAAAAAGAGGCTGTTTACTGCTATGTCTATCTGAATGTGAGAGGAAGGGGTGCAATCCGCGCACGCGCACACACACGCAAAAGGGTGGAATTCACGATTCCACACTGGATATAACCAATGCCTTTATCCACTGTGCCATGTGACAGATACTGAAAGAAAAAGGACTGACAAACATGGCTGGTTATCAAAGAGAGTTTTATAATTTCTGGAGAAGTCATATTTAGGATACCAGATTTGAGTGGACTGGATGTATCTGTGATGTTACTAGTGAGGACATATTCTGCAAACAGGAAGCTGGGATTCCTGGTTTTCTAAATTGACGACTGAGCCAGAAATAGTTTCTTTCTATATCTGATGAAGATATATTCCCAAAGGGAAATGGCTTCTAAGCTGCACTATGTTTGTGCTGGCTGAGGAAGACAGATTTAGCCTCCATCCAGACAAGACCCTTGCCTCATCCATACTAAAAATGCAACAGCTCAGTTTGACTCCTGGAAGCTGACTAACTGTCTTCCACTTTCATCGCTATGCAGTAACGTCACTAAGTGGCTATCAGATGGCCCATGTGACTTTATCTCCACTAAAGGGAGTTAATCACCTTTTGTATCCCTACAATATTTTCAAAAATAGAAAACAGAACACTATCAGTATCATATTGATTAAAGCAAGAAATTCAAAAAAACTTTTAAAAAAATAAAAAATCATGAAAACATGATTTTATTTAGGCAAACAAAATAGGAACTCTCACATGCACACATTTTCTTGGAAAAACAATATTTTTCTTGATACTTAAAACAAAACTGTTAGTGTTAAACATTCAAAGATTTGTTTCTCACCTCAAAAATAGTTTGAGGAAGAAAAAGCAAATTAAAATAAAAAAAATAAAAAAAACTGTAAAAGAAAAATGTTGTTTGCATTCTTTAAGCCTAACAAATGAATTTAAACAACCATAATTAAGCATATATAAGTTATACACATGTATCCCCTGATCATAAGCAATTAGTGACCAACAAAAGTGCATTTAAAAAATGCACATAATGCTCATTCCTGCTTTCAAAAGAGAAAAAAAAACAAAATTAGCTTTGCTTGAGCAGATGTAGTAGAAGGAAAATAGTAACCAGTAAAATGGTTTTGCTTATATGTCTAAATCCCTAAGCCTGGGAACCAGTAGTTAACCTGAAAACAAATAAAATCCCCCAAAAAGTAAGCCAGCAACTCAAAAAAAATCATTATTCATAAATTCACTCAAGTCAAAAGGACAGATTAGTACTACAGCAACTTCAACTGAACCCAGCTAACTGCTACTCACAAAACTGCCAGCTACATGCAGACACCAGCCACTAATTAACTGTCTTCTTTCCTCTCCTTGCTTCTTATCAGCTTATACTTTTACTTTTACATACATACATACTACAAAACCCTTTTAATTGACTTAGAATCAAACTTAAAACAATGAATATCATTTCTCAAAAACCTTTTCACACAAATTTGTGTATTTCTCTTTGTTTGATTGTTTACTGTTTATAAGTTTACTGTTGCTGTTTGCCTTAATACAGCTGCTTTTTTCAGTCTTGGTATTGTAAACTAAAAATTTTGTTAGTGGACTCAAGGTTAATAGAATATTTTGTCACCTTAGGGTCTCCCAACATCTACACAAAGATTTCATTAGGTTCTTTTCAATCAAGTTTATTGAAAAATGTCATTTTTTATTTAATAAAAGACTATGATTAAAATATTTTTTGTGTGCATGTATGTTTAATAGATTGAATGTGAACAGATTTAGAAGATTCTCACTACTGGAAATATATTTTTCACTTTAAATATTTTTTTGAAGAATACATTTCGAAAATATGAATAAATGAAGATACAACTACTATTTACTGTTCCTTCAAAGTATTTTTAAACATTTTTAGTGATCCAAATTGTTTTTAAAAAATTGGTATTGTAATATTTTGATGTTGTAAGAAATGAGATTATTTCATCATGTTCTAATACAAAATTTACCACAAAGTAATGTGCAAATTTGGACAATAAATGTATATAATAACAGTTTCATTTCAGAATGGTGCTAATCTCAGTCAGTGAAAGTCAATCATTCATTAATTATGAAAATTATTTAATGATAAGTTTCCATTGTTTACTGTCATATGTCCAATTTCTTCACTACTTAAGCTTATGGTAAAAAAATTCAGCATTTATATTTATCATCCAATCACATTTCTTGCAAAAAATTCAAATGTAGCCCCTAACTTGGCATCTTTTTTGGTGCTTCCACTAAACTGCACTTAAACAACCTCAAGTCCGTCTAACATAGACATAAGCATATCACATGAGAGAAACAGTTTTTTGACCAATGAGAACACACTCAACTTCCTAATCTTCAGAGTATAACTGAATTCATCAGATAAAATAAAAAGTAAAATATGATAAAAAAATGTCAGTAAAAGTGAACATGTCACAAGTAAATAAATTTACCACACCCTTACTCCTACTATTTTTCCCAATACATTCTTTTTCACTCCAGCTACTGTAAGTTATCTTTGGACTACTCTTTTATGAAAACTTTGATACATAAGTACATATAAACTTTTTCAATGAGGTCTATAAAAGGATTTCATTGAATACTTATTTTATCTTCAGTTATTTTTTTTTACCAAAGACATTTTTATTTCAGAAATATGCCAAAACTCAATGTACGAGTATGCATTACTTATAAAAAAAATATTTCATTGTTTTTTAAATACTTGGCTTCTCTTGTCAATTACATTAATATCATTTTTCTGAAAGTATTTTTCTCTTTACTACTTGAAGGCTCAGAATAAACTGAATAATTAATGATCCCAACTACATTTATATCTGTATATACACAGAATATATAAAAAAAACTGGTAAAATGCGGGAATATAATTCTTGTACAATTTATTCAAAACTATATCAATATTTTAATGTTAAATTCATATTTTATGTTTGAGGTCAATGAGATACTAAGCACTAATTTTAAGAGAAGACATTCATTTTCAGTAACCTAGTTGCATAACATTAGTCATTTTATCAATTATTATTTTCAAAATTAGATTTATTTTGAAATTACATTTGCAAATATGGTTACTTGTTTTTTGATATTGTGGAGGTTTACCCCACCTTATCTCCCATGATACCCACTAGGTGTGATATTCAAGAATATAAAATGATTGAGTCATTCATTTTCTACAGCTTATCAAACCTTTGCAGGCTTTGAATAACCTGCAAAGGTTTGATAAGCTGTAGAAAATGAATGAATCAATCATTTTACATTCCAGAAAAATATTTTATTCCAGAAAATATTTTTAGGTTGCATGAATTTTT